GGCTGAGTGGGCTCCCGCAGAGTCAGCCCGGCTGGTGGCGGGCAGCCTGATTGCACACGCCCTTCCTCTGCGGCCAGGGCTGCCCTCCCAACGTGCCCACAGGACAACGGTGACTGATTTCAGGCCATCAGTCAGGGAGCTGAGAATGGATTTGCGTTGGTCTCAGCCTGGTTGACCTGATTCTCCCGACCACCCTGAAGGGACTCGGTGAAGTTCTTTCTGCATCGGAGAACGAGAGACTCGTTATCTCCATCCAAAAATCTGGTTGGGGGACACAAGGCCTCGAGGGCCATGTAGGTGTTTGGGTTTTGCTCCATGAGTAACACAGTATCAGCAGTACACTTTTAGAAATAGCGTTTGCTGTTGTATTAGGTTTCTTTAACAGAAAAAGTATTAAGGGATACACGTTCATTGTAGAAAACTTAGAAAATACACACACAAGGAAAAATAAAAACAAACATTTCACGTCCGCAGATGTTATCATTCCTAACACTTGTCCTGAGTCCCTCGCTTCTTCCTGTCCACGTGGTTGCTGTCAGAGAGGTCTCGTTGCTGTGATGTTGCATATGTTTTCTGAGCACCTGTCATGTGGCTCTGGCATATGTTACTGCACCTTCCCCTTTCAAGAGGGAAGTGATATGATTAAATGTGTAAAACTCGCCCCAGGATCTGCAGGCTGTTAGGTTAATCTCGCTCATCAAACTGTTCTCCTGAGTGACAGCTGCCCTTGCGCCCCAAAGCTCTGCGGTGAGTCTGAGGGAGGCCGAGCCAATCATTTCTGGTTCGGACCACAATCAATCGATTGTGGACCCAGCCACGCTCTGCTGAAATAAGAGTTGCCACTCATCTTCAGCCTAGATATACTGGGTTGGAGAATCCTGTTAAGCAAATGTTTTAGTGATGTTGTTCAGTCAGTCATGTCCGAATCTTTGTGACCCCATGGACTGCAGCACTCTACCATCTCCTGGAGTTTGGTCAAACTCATTTCCATTGAGTTAAGTGATGCCATCCAACCATCTTGTCCTCTGTCATCCCCTTCTCCTCCTGCCTTCAGTCTTTCCCAGCATCAGGGTCTTTTCCAATGAGTTGGCTCTTGGCATCAGGTGGCCAAAGTGTTGGAGCTTCAGCTTCAGCATCAGTCCTTGCAATGAATATTCAGGACTGATTTCCTTTAGGATGGACTGGTTGCATCTTCTTGCTGTCCAAGGGACTCTCAAGCATCTTCTCCAACACCACAGTTCAAAGGCATCAATTCTTTGGCACTCAGCTTTCTTTATGGTCCAGCTCTCGCATCCTTGCATGACTAGTGGAGAAACCGTAGTTTGACTAGATGGACCTTTGTCAGCAAAGTGATGTCTCTGGTTCTAATATGCTGTCTAGGTTGGTCATAGCTTTTCTTACAAAGATCAAGCATCATTAATTTCATGGCTGCATCCACCGTCTGCAGTGAGTTTGGAGCCAAAGAAGATAGTCTGTCACTCTTCCCGTTGCTGCCCTTTCTGTTTGCCATGAAGTGATGGGACCGGATGCCATGGTGTTAGTTTTCTGAATGTTGAGTTTTAAGCCAGCCTTTTCACTGTTCTGTTTCACTTTCATCAAGAGGTTCTTTAGTTCCTCTTTGCTTTCTCCCGTTAGAGTGGTATCATCTGTATATCTGAGGTTGTTATCTCTCCCGGTATTTTGCATGATATACTCTACGTATAAGTTAAATATGCAAGGTGACAAAATACAGCCTCGATGTGCTCCTTTCCCAATTTTGAACTACTCCGTTGTTCCATGTCCAGTTCTGTTGCTTCTTGACCCACATACAGGTTTCTCAGGAGGCAGGTGAGGTGGTCTGATATTCCCATCTCTTGAAAAATTTTCCGGTTTATTGTGATCCACATAGTCAAAGACTTTTAACATAGTCAATGAAGCAGAAGTAGATGTTTTTCTGGAATTCTCTTGCTTTTTTGATGATCCAGTGGATGTTGGCAATTTGATCTCTAGGTCCTCTGCCTTTTCTAAATCCAGTTTGGACATCTGGAAGTTCTTGGTTGATGTACTGTCGAAGCCTAGCTTGAAGGACTCTGAGCATCACCTTGGTAACATGTGGAATATGTGCAGCTGTGCAACAGTGTGAACATTCTTTGGCATTGCCCTCCTTTGGGATTAAAATGAAAATTGACCTTTTCCAGTCCTGTGGCCATTGCTGAGTTTTCCAAATTTGCTGGCATATTGAGTGCAGCACTTTAACAGCATCATCTTTTAGGATTTTGAATAGCTGATCTCCACTAGCTTTAGTGATAAACTAAGGTTTGAGACTGTTTTCCCTACTGATAGGAATGGTTGTTGCAAAAGATCACCTAACCAGGGAGCAAACCCGCGTCCCCTGCAGGGAAAGCACTCAGTCCTAACCGCTGCACCGCCAGGAAGGTCCCAGAGACCCTTCCTCTTAAGCCTCATGTTCCCTACATCTCCCCTACCCCTTATGAGCATACTCCCCCAACCTCTTGTGGTTTCAGGTGTTAAAAGCTCTCTGTATTTTCTCCATTTCTCACTTTCACTGCACTTTTTCCCCCCGAGTCCCTTCTGTGTGTCCAGTGATGGAAGGTGGTGCCAGGCATAAGAAGTTGGGAAATGACTCCTGCTCCTTGTCGCTCCCAGAGCAGTTCGGGTCTAGTGTCGGTGCCCCGTCCTGGACGTCAGGACCCGCTCTGCTGGGGCCTGAACTGTTCCCCGGGTGCCGGCTCCACGCCCTGCTCCTGGGCCTGGTCGCCGCAGTGGCTGGAGGAAGTGTCTGGCTCTGCCCGCAGGACCTGCAGGACCACAGCGATGAGCTGCAGGCTGCCCTGCAAGGCCTGCAGGCACAGACGGCCCCGAGTCGGCACAGCCACCTGCCCCTGGGACACGGCCCGGGAGGTAGGCGCTGGGTGCTTGGAGGTGGTGCGTCTGTTGGGAGGTGGTGGGTCACGTGCTCCTGCCCCGAGGATGGGGCGGTGGGCCAGCCCTCTGCACAGGGGTCACAAGTCCTACGGACCACTTGTGTGGGAGAAGGGTCCTATCTGAGGCCAGGGGTTTAGGTGTCCCAGAGCCCCAAGAGAGAGGGAGGAGGATGAAGGTCCTACTGCTTGGACAGAGTAAGTGGCGAAGGTTACCATGACCTTGCTGTGACCTCAGAGCAGGCATGTCCCCTGTGAGCCTCCTAAGGCAGCAGGGACAGAAGGAGATGCCCCTGGGGAGGGTCATCTGGGGAGGGGAGCAGAGAGCGTGCTGGGGGTGATGGGGACGGCCTCTGATGGCTCTGACAAGGGCAGCCCACGTCAGCTGTCCTCGGGGCCTCCGAGGGAAGCTGGGTGGGTCTTCTGTGCACCGGGCCTCTAAGGGAGGCCCTCACCTGCACCTCAGCCGTGGACTCTGCTGGGCCCCGAGCCACAGCCCTGCTCCTCAGCCAGGGGTGGTTGGCGTGAGGCTGCTGTCATCGCGTTCCTCAATGAGTGTCAGCGGCCCATGTGGCCACAGGGAAGGGGTCGATGGTCTTTATCCCTCGACGGGCCTGAGCTGCGAGTGTGTGGCCCTTGTTGAGAGCCAGGAGCTGCGCCCCGGGTGCGGTGGTCGGAAGGCTCTGAGCCGTAGCGCCGGAGGGAGCCCTGAGCCTCATGTTGGCGCAGATGCAGCCAGAGCGCTCTCCCGACTGGAGCCTTTTCTCTTCCCCTCGCCCCCATCTGGCCTCAGAGCGTCTATCAGCCCCTTCTAAGGAGGAGGGGCGTTCAGGACAGCAGCACTGTGGTGCAGGGGTCACGTGGGTGGTGGAGGCCGGGCTGGCTGTGCATCCAACCAGGGCCACTCCTGACCCAGGCAGCAGCTTGCTGTTTTCGGGGCGATGGGATGCTCTCTTTCCTCACATGCTTATCCCGAGTTCTCTCGGCTGGATATTCTCGAGTCTGTCACTCTTTTTCATGGAAAGCAATTTGGGAATTGAAAAGAGCAGGCGAGAAGTCAGGATGTGTCTGCTCCCTTCACTTTCCAGCCCATCAACCAGCATGGATGAAACCCCAGCAGTGGCCACACTCACATTCTAAATCAAGCCTTGAGTGTGCCTCCTAGCGTGCATGGCGTGGGGGTCACCTGGGCCCAGGAGGGCTGGCCATGCTGTGGGTCCAAAATCACTGCAGATGGTGACTACAGCCATGAAATTAAAAGATGCTTGATCCCATGGTGTCCTGGGCAGAACATCAATGGACATGTCCTCTTATTTTCAGGCACCATCACGTTCGTGGGTGATTCAGCCCCAGCGAGTACAGAAACAGAGATCATGTTGGAGCAGCTGAAGGAGCGTTGCCAAGAACTCAGGATCCAGCTGGAGACCCAGGTGAGGGGACTGAGGGAGGCCACAGAGGTCGGGGAACTTCCTGCTGCTGAGACGCGTCTGCGCACACGTATGCCCATAGTGAGCGCACTCGGGGGGACGGAGGTTTGCAGGGAATGTGCGTGACCTTGACTTTCCGCCTCCACCCTCTTCGGAAGGAGGCAGTTCAGAAGGAATAGCTAATAACGGGAGGGAACAGAGTCCTTCCCCGTGTCCGGAGGCTGGTGCAGAGGCCAGAACTCCCTGTTTGCCCTGCACTGGGAAGTCACAGCCCCCGGCTCTGTTGCAGCTGAAGCAGATTCTGGGAGCAGAATCTTAGTTCCTGGGATTGCCCTTCGCCAGGGGCTCCCCAGGTGGCACTTGTGGAGATGAGGAGCTTGTTGCCAAGACAGGAGACATAAAAGATGCGGGTTCGATCCCTGAGTCGGGAAGATCCCCTGGAGGCGATCGTGGCAACCACTCCAGCCTTCTTCCCTGGAGAATCCCGTGGACAACGGAGCCTGGTGGGCTACAGTCCACAGGGTCGCACAGAGTCAGACACGACTGCAGCGACTCGGCACGCAGGGGCTCCTCGGCCCCCCTGGCCAAGCCTGTCTTCTCGGGTGAATGTGTCTCTTGCTCTGTTACTCGATTGTGGGGGGTTTGTGGAGGGATGGTGCCCACGGATCATGAGGGGTCACCATGGCCACGGGGCGGTCCTGCCCCTGGGTGCCTGCTGTGGCCTTGCCTTCCAGGCCTCGTGGAGGTGTTCCCTCCTGCCCTCTTCCTGCGGCTGCCTGCCGGGCCGCCAGCCTCCCTTCTGCACCTGCAGGGCCTGCCCCCGAGGCTGCAGCGGAGGTTACAGGAAGTGACGGAAGCAGGCGGCCGCACAAGCCGTGGGGGGCCTTTCACAGACCCCGGCGCCCTGTTGAAGCCGGGCCACCTGCTGTTTTGGTGCTGCCCCGGCAGCCTTGACTCATCAAGTGGACGGTGTCTGGGGGCCCCGGTCGACGTCACTCCTCCTCTCTCCTCAGGTTAGTGACCACGAAAGGGAGATGGAGGTGATGAAAGGGGCCTTTGTAGAGGAGGAGGCACCTGGAGCGGGGCTTCCAGGTCAAGGTTGGCGTGCTCCAGGGTCAGAAGGCTGAGCTGGCGACGCTGCACGCGGAGTCACAGGAGGTCATCTGAGGCCTGCGAGAGCAGCTGCAGAGGAGGGCAGAGCTGGAGCGGGGCCACACATGGCAGCTGGGCCGGGAGACGGTGCTTCAGCGGCTCAAGTCCACCACCCTGGCCGTGCGGGATCTAACGTCCAGGGTTCGTTGCCAAGAACCCGGATCTGAAATTGAATTTGAGCAGATTGCTCAGAGTCACAAATACTCGTTACCTGAGTGGTGAGCCCTGAAAGAACAGGTTATTTTGCAAAGGTTCTGACTTTTCTTTCTGCCGCACTGTGCGCATGGCCTGAGAGATCTTAGTTCCCTCACCAGGGATGACACTTGTGCCCTTGTGGTGGATACATGGAGTCTTCACCACTGGACTGCCAGGCAAGTCCCAAAGAGTCTGATTTTAAAAATACAGTCTCCCTCATCTGTCATCTCGTGGCTCCTGGGGAGGTGGATAAAAGGCTTTAATGCCCCCAAATAATGGGAAAGGGCTTTACTTTGGGTTAGTGGAGTCTTGAAAGAAACAGATTTGTGAGCAAAGGAAAGAAGAGGTTTGCTTGGAGAACTGGAGCATGATCTTCTGTGCTAGAGAAGGGCCCACACGCCCATCCTCTGGGCCCCAGCAGGGAGCTGGGGGCTGGGGAGGCCTGAGGGGAGGCTGGAGGTGGGGAGGCCTCTGTGAGCCGGTGATGGGACCGCTCAGGTGTGCAGCCTGGCCCTCCTCCCCGGGCCCCCTGGGGCTCAGGCCGGCACCCACTCCTTCTCAGGAGCCCAGGACTCCAGAAGGGCTTTTCCAGGAGCCTTGCAGCAGCACACAGGAGATGACCCGGGTGACTGCAGGCAGGTGCAGCTGTGTGTTGTGGTTGCTGCTCTATGCACTGTGTCTTTTGGCCCCGTGAGTGCCCACACAGCACTCCCACAAGCTCCCCGCGTCCTGTGGAGACAGAGACTTCGTGAGGTGTTGTGTCCCTTGTCTGGGCAGAGGACACTGGCCCACCGCACATGCAGGTGTGGCCAGGTGAGGCGCTATCTTCTGCCTGCTAGGTGACCATCGCGCGTTGCTTCACCGGTAAACAGATCAAGGGGGATTTATGATAAGCACCTCCCTGCTTGAGAAAGGAAATATTAGCATGGCCAGTAGCTCCAGGCTCTGTTCCCAGGCCCCCCTCACTTCTCCCCAAGGCATCTGGACTGTTTATCACCTCTAGACCTGTTCTAGGCCTCTGCCTCGGATGCAGGGGTCCCCCAACGACATGGAGCCTTGGTCGTGGTGGACTGACTTCTGAATGCCCTGCTCCATGAAGCAGAGGTGGTGCTGGGCCTCACGAGTGGCACGGAGCCTCTGGTGAACGTCTGGACCCACTGTTACTGTTGCGGCTGCGATCAAAGGCTGGTCTCGGGCCCAGTGGACCTGCGCGTCCACATCAGGCCCCAGGCACACGCGGGGCCCTTCAGTGTGGGAGCAGCCCAGCAGCCACATGCCCTCTCTGCCGTCTGTCTCGGGCACTTCCGGTGGACAGGCACAGGAGCCCAGTGCTGTCCTAGTGCTCCACCCCGCCCCCGGGCCCTGCAGGCTGTGCTGGTCCTCTCTGCTTCTCCTGACTCACGGCACGCCCTGGCTGGTTGGCCCCACAGCTAACGTCTCGGTTCCCGTCTCAGTGGTGTCTGGGTCATTGGACCGGGTTTCCTGGGCACCTGCCGCGTGCTGTCACAGCCGGGGCTGCAGCCCAGAGTTGGATGCCTGGTTAAATGCTTTCTTTAGGGACCATCTTCTTCACTCTAATGTGTGGTCTTTTATGAAAGTGTCTTTGGAGGACATTCCCTCAGTTTTTGTGTATCTGAAAATGTCTCAGATTCTCTCCCATTTCTGAAGGCCGGTCCTCCTAGGAGCACAGACCTTGATGCGCAGTTGAAGGCTGCCCTCTGCCCTCTGACCTGGGCAGGCTGCTCTTAGTGAGCATCCATTTTCCATTGCTGCGGTGATGAGTTACCAGGAAGTCAGAGGCTTAAAGCATCACAACTTAGGATTTCACGGTGTTCGAGCCTGGAAATCAGAAGTGGGTATGACTGGGTGGGAATCTCAGTGTTGGCAGCCACCTTCCTTTCTGGACGCTCTGGAGGAAACCTGCAGACCTCCCATTCTTGATCCACACCTTCCTCCTCTAAGGCTAGCAGTGACTGGTTGGTCCTCCTTGCGCTCCGTCCTGACTCCCAGTCTTCTGCCTGCTCTTCCACAGAGGAGGACCCTAGTGGACAGTCTAGGACACTCTTTCCATCTAAGGGCAGTGAATTAGCAGCTTTAATTCCTTTTGTTGCGTTGATTCCCCTTTGCTATGAAATAGCACATTTGCAGGTTCTGGATGCAGACGTCTTTTAGAGGCTGTTTTTCTGTCCCCACAGGAGGTGACCTGAGTTGTGTCCTCTGGTTGCTATTAGCTTCTCCATGTTTTGTGGTTTTTCTTTGGTGTGTTTAGGTGTCTCTTTCTTGTGTTTTAACTTTTTATTGAAGTGTTAGATGCACACACAGAAAAACTCACACGTGTATGCATGCAACTGGAAGAATTGTTGATGAATTGGACACATCTGTGTCACCGGCACCCAGAACACGTTCCCCAGGGTTACTGTTGCAAGTCGGGTAGTAGTAACCCCTGGGGGAGCTCTGGGGAGCCCCATTTTTTGTTCTCGATGCTGGTATACCTAAGAATGGAATTGTTGAGTCTTAGGGCACAGATGCGGTTTTCTTTTTACTTACCATACTTTGAAATATTATGCCTGTTGAATATATAGATTTGTGTCCTATGAAAATCTTTCAGACATTCTTTGTAAAATATTGCCTCTCCCCTCAGTGGCCTTTTCAGTTGGGTGTATAATATTACATCTTTTCACTTTTCCTCCTTTTCTTAACCTCTCTTTCATTTCTTCCATCTTCTTTTCTGTGCATGGTGCTTTATGGGTACTCTTTCATATCTCTGTGTTCCAGGTCAGTGATTCTTTCTTCAGCTATATCTGATCTGAGTGCGCTTTTATTTTGACATTTTTTTTTTCATTTTCAAACATTCTATTTGGTCCTTCCTGATCGTTTCTGATAGCTTCTTATTGCTCGCTCGTCCACTTTTTATTTCCATTTTTTATTAAGTAAACATTTAATAATATTTACCCGACGTTTCTGTCTGATACTTCCAATATCTGGAATCTAATTCTGTTGTTTAGGCTTCTTCTGACTCTTACAAGTGGTCTTTCCCATATATGTTGCGGTGACCTTTGTGAGCTCATGCTTACAAGATGTTTATCGCTGGGAATCCTGAGAACTGTAGAAGAGGGTTCTCCCTGCCGAAAGGCTGCGTTTTGCTTTTGCCAAGAAGACTTGGGAGCCTCTTAATCTGAGACCACTTTAACGTCTTCCACGGAACCAGCCCACCACATGTGGCCCTGGCGTGGTTTCTCCACACTGAGGTAGGTGTTGGCCTCAGGGTAAGCCCATCTTTGTGTTGCTTAATGCTCACAGCTTTGGTTTCAGCATTCAGGTTTTTGTTTAAGGGCTCCTGGAGGTTTCTGTATCCTTCTGTGAGGACACCAGACGTTAGATGATCAGCTTTGCACAGGCTCTGAGTAGTTGGTGCATGTGGAGGACTGAGATGAGGCAACCACCGTCTTATTCAAGGTCCAGGAAACTGGACACAGAACCCCTCCTGACTGCCACCCCCCCACACACACACCGCTACCTTTGAATCAATTTTGTTTTCCATCCAGGAGTCTGAATAACATTTCAAGACACAGACCTCATTTCTGATCACTCTCTTCCTTGAAACCCTTCACTTCTTTTAAAATTCCATGACTTCTATGTCTTCATTTTTCTGTTTCGTTCCTCATGAGAAAAATGAAATTATACTTATGCTTAGGAAGGAGATATTTATGCTTGATATTCTAAGAATAATACATTAAACATATGAAGTCATATGCTTTGAGTACTTTTAGGGTGAAAAACCTAGAAGCTAATGCCAGGTAGAGGCCTGATGTTTAGGGGCATAAATGTCAGTGAGACCAACATATATTAAGGATAGATTTTCTGGGCAGCAGGCGTGGGTTTACAGCTGCCTCCCCGTGATCCTTATTGGTCAGTTGCTCATCTGTTGCACATCATTGGAGTTACCTTCCAGGGAGACTAAGATGGTTGGAAGCCTGGGGCTCCAGGCAGACTTGGCCTGGGCAGCCTCTGTCAGTCCTTGCTTTCCTCTCCTGAAGGTTCCACACTGCATCGGATCACCCTCTGTCCGCCGATGCGGGCATCTTTCCAGTTTCCTCCAGTGCTGACCTCAGGGTGTAGGATAGGGGGCGCTCTCCCCATAGGATTCAGCTTCCTGAGTCCTTGTGTTCCTCAGCTTTGTGCTCGGGGTCCCTGGGGGGGATTTCCTTGCAACAACCTCGTGAGGACTCTCACCCAGCATCTTGCATTGGTGCCAGCTGTGAGCACGCTGACGTTTCAGTGAAGGTAAGGAGATGCAGGAACGGGCCAGCTGGAAACACAGAGAACCAAGGGGCTGAATACGCTAGTCAATGGCTCTTTTAGGAACTAAGAAAGCTTTGTTTTTCTGTAGCTTCTCTCTTGGGAGATACAAACCAGAGCAGGTTAACACTGGATACAGGGAAGGAACTGGTCGCTGTGTCCTCATCCAGGGAAGGAGAGTGTGGCTGGGGGTCATTGCAAGACCAGACTGTCTGGTGACCAGCTCCTGGAATTCCCACTCTTCTTTCTTTTTAAAATTTGTCATCCAGAATCGAGTTGGAAAAGCTTTCTGAAAAAAACACGCTTTTGAAAAGTGAGCTGGGGAGGATCCGACAAGAGCCTGAAGCTTCAGAAAGGACGGAGGCTGCACAGAGGCAAGGGCCGGCTCAAGTGGTCCCACCCCAACCACCCATCCCAGACGCAGTTTGCTCATCGTAGAAGAAGCTCAGAGGGCATTGCTGTAGAAAGTGTGACGTGTTCACAGATAATCCACATTCCAGGAACAGTCAGCAGAGAACTGTGCTGCCCTCCGACCAACCTTGATGGGCACGGGAGGGCTCAGGTGTCCTACAGGAATACTGCACCGCGTGCTCCAGGGTCGGAGGAGGCATCCTGCATTCCTGTAGGGCAAGAGGGCCTCTTCCAGCCTTCCTGGGCCAATGGAATCGGTTTCTTCTTGTCCTGATAGTGATTCCAGCTGTGCTTCTGTCCAAGCTTCGTTCCTGGTCTGTGGATATCAGTGTGTGAGAGTCAGGGGTCTAGGGCAGGGGCCTGAGCACTGAGGCAGGAGCTGTGTGTATTGTGGAGGGACACCTGCCAGTGGACGTCAGCTTTCACCATCAGCGCCTCATCTGACAAGGGTTTGGTGGTTTTTTTTTTTTTTTAATAAAATTGAAATGAGCTCAGCTCTAAACTGCCGAGAATGTGGTTTTGATTTGATAAAAGTGCCTGACTATTAAAGTGTGGAATCCAGAGTGGATTGTCCAGTTTCCCCCAATGGTCACGTTCTGTGAAACTTTAGTATAGTGTCTGTGTTAGTTTGCTAGGGCTGCGATAGCAAACCACCACAGACTGAGGGGCTTATACAACAGAAATTTATTTCCTCACAGTTCTCAGAGTTAGAAGTTCAAGGTCAGGGCAGGGGTGGTTTCTTCTGAGGCCCCTCTGTTTAGTTTGTATTCAACTGTCCTCTCCCGGTCATCCTTCAGATGTGTCTGTGTTGTCCTCTCTTATTAGGGCACCATCATACTGGAGTCATACGACCTCGTTTTGCCTTAATCAGCTCTTTCAAGACCCCATCTCCAACTGCAGTCCCTCGGTACTGTACTCCAGTACAGTCTTGGAGGTTTGGGCTTCAGCTTGTGAATTGGGGTGTGAGGGGGCGCAAATCAGCCCTTAATGAGCATCACAGCCAAGCTGTTGCCATTGATGCACTCCGTAGGTCTTACTTCCCCAGTTTTGGGGGGGGTGTTCTTTTTCTTGGGGGAGTGTTTCATTGCCCCACGGCTCGTGGCATCTTAGTTCCCCAACCAGGGATGGAACCCCAGTGTCCTGCCTCAGAAGGCAGATTCTTAACCACGGGACCACCCAGAAAGGCCACATGCTTCCACAGCTTTACTTCTGTACTCATGTGGGTGTCAGGTCTACACGGTTTTATTCCTTGTGGAGGTTCATGTCTCCACAACCATAGCTGCAGCTCCACAAGGTCCTTCATGTTGTTTATTCACAACTACGTCCGCCATCTGTCTTCCTGCCCACCTACCCCAGCCTCAGCCCCTGAAAACCACTAACTGTCCTTCATTTCCAAAATTGTGTCATTTCACAAGTGACACAAAAGGAATCATACAGAATGAGATCTTTGGGATTGCCTTCCCTCACATAGTATGATTCCCTGCCGTGTGTTCACAGTTTCTTTCTTCCTGTCGCTGGACGGCATTCCAAGGCGTTAATGTCCCACAGCTTGTCTTCAGTTCAGTTCAGTCGCTCAGTCGTGTCTGACTCTTTGCAAGCCCGTGGACCGCAGTACGTCAGGCTTCCCTGTCCATCATCAACTCCCAGAGCTTGCTCAAACTCATGTCCATCGAGTCAGTGATGCCATCCAACCATCTCATCCTCTGTCATCCCCTTCTCCTGCCTTTGATCTTTCCCAGCATCAGGGTCTTTTCCAGTGAGTCAGTTCTTCGCATCAGGCAGCCAAACTTTTGGAGCTTCAGCTTCAGCATCAGTCCCTCCAATGAACACCCAGGACTGATCTCCTTTGGGATGGACTGGTTGGATCTGCTTGCAGTCCAAGAGGCTCTCAAGAGTCTTCTCCAACACCACAGTTCAAAAGCATCAATTCTTCAGCGCTCAACTCTCTTTATGGTACAACTCTCACATCCATCGTGACCACTGGAAAAACTATAGCTTTGACTAGATGGACCTTTGTACACTTTTTAATATGCTATCTAGGTTGGCCTAGATATATGGATATATAGGCCAGTATAGCTTTCCTTCCAAGGAGCAAGCATCTTTTAATTTCATGGCTGCAGTCAGCATCTGCAGTGATTTTGGAGCCCAAGAAAATAAAATCTGTCACTGTTTCCATTGTTTCCCCATCTATTTGCCATGAAGTGATGGGACTGGATGCCATGATCTTAGTTTTTTGAATGTTGAGTTTTAAGCCAACTTTTTCACTCTCCTCTTTCTCTTTCATCAGGAGGCGCTTCAGTTCCTCTTTGCTTTCTGCCATAAGGGTGGTGTCATCTGCATATCTGAGGTTGTTAATATTTTTCCCGTCAGCCTTGATTCCAGCTTGTGATTCATCCAGCCCCGCATTTCACGTGATGTACTCTGCATATAGGTTAAATAATCAGGGTGACAGTATACAACCTTGACATACTCCTTTCCCAATTTAGAACCAACTTGTCCTAATGCTCCCCTTTGAAAGGATGGCTGGGGTGATTCCAGTTGTGGGCTGTCACAGAAGCTGCAGTGTACATTCCTAGGCAGGTGTTTGTGTGGAGGTTGGTTTTCATTTCACAGGATAAATGCCCAGGATAGCAGTTGCTGATCTGTACCGCAGTTGCATGTCTAGGTTTATATGACATTGCCCAGCTGTTATCCAGAGCGGCTACTAACAGTTTATGTTCCCGCCAGCAGTGTATGCTAGGTCCAGTTGCCCCACACCCCTGTCCACACTGGGTGTTGTCGCTCTTACTTTAGCCACTCCAGTAGGTGAGTGACCCTGAGTCAGAACAGCTCGAGCGGCCCTAGTTGGTTATCCGCTTCCCCTCGCTGATTCCGGCCTGGTAGAGAAGGAGGTTTCCCTTGAGGGCAGGTTTCACCTGGCTTGGCTCCCATGAGGCTCTTCGGCGCTTGTGGGCGGCCCCCTCTCACTGTGTCTCCTTATAAAGTCCCTGTCCCGTTGGATGAGGACCCCACCTTGTGAGCACAGTTAACCTTAATGACCTGCTAGCAGCCGTGTCTCCAGACAGGGGTGACTTTGTGGACCCGGTTCTACCCACAGCAGCCACTCTGTTTAGGCCTCCAGCCTTTGACTCCTGGTGAGCTGTGACGCTCTTCGCCTGTTTTTCTTTCCGGTTTCCAGAGCATTGGTTTGCCCTGTGACTTCAGTTCCCTGACGAATCTCAAAAGAGTTGTTGACTCTCAGTTACTCCGCTTTTTCTTTGTTCTTGTTGGGAGGGTGGAAGTGAGGACTTCCAAGCTCTTTCCAGGCCGGGGCAGAAATGGTGTTTTGTTTCTCACGTGGGTTTCTGCACCTTCACTGTCAGAACATAGAAACATAGTAGATTTTCAGCTGCTGACCGGTGTCCTTGCTGACTTCCCACTCAGTCTGGGAGTGCTTTTTGTTGCCTCTGGTTTCTCAGACACCTGCTGTACCTTGGAGAGACCTGCAGTTCCCATCTGCGTCTTCCTACCGCTGCCTGCCTCTCCCCGAGCCTGGCTGATAAGGTGGGAACACCCGCCCTGGGCCGACAGTGATGCCCCTGCCCAGCTGTGCATGAACCCTGCTCCGAGGCGCAGAGGGCTTCAGACCCTCAGCCTCCGGAGCAATTGCTAGGGAAAAGCAGAGGAGCAAAACATGGTTTGTGTGAAGCTCCGTCTCAGGAGCGTGAGCTCTGGTTTAGAGGGAGGCTGTGTCCGCGGCTGGTGTGGGTCCCGCTATGGAAGGAATTAAACCCAGCGAAGAACCCAGGAGGTAAACAGGACAGAATGACTTGATCCTCCCAGGATCCGGCATGAGGTCACTGGGAGGGCTGCAGGCAGGCCTTGCAGGCTCTCAGGTGCAGAAGCGCCCCTGAATGGAGCTTGTGTTAGTCGCTCAGCCCTATCCGATTCTTTGTGACTCCGTGGACTTTAGCCTGCCAAGCTCCTCTGTCCGTGGGATTCTCCAGGGGAAATTACTGGAGTGGGTTGCCATGCCCTCCTCCAGGGGATCTTCCCAGTCAGGGACCAAATCCACATGTCCTGTGTCTCCTGCATTGCAGGCGGATTCTTTACCGTCTGCACTACCAGGAAATGGAGTGTGGGCATCAGATAAATGGACTCTTTAGAAATCGTGAGCTTTCCTGGACACTCTCTTACCTTGTGGGGTGGTACCCTGTGGCTCTCTCCCCTCTCCTGTTTGAAGAGAGCACACGATCTGATCTGCTGCTCAAGGAGCTCTATGTGGAAAATGCCCACCTGACAAAAGCGCTTCAAGTCACTGAAGAGAAGCAACGAGGCGCCGAGAAAAAAATCCCGATTCTTGGAAGGAAAAGTTAGAGCTCTCAGCAAACTCCTCAGCAAGACTGCTACAGCATCTGTTGCTGTGTAGACTTGCTTTTCTTCCTGGCGTTCATTTTGAAAGAACGTCTCTTAAAGTAAACCAGTGTGACACCGTAACTTATTGTGGCTCTGTGGCTGTATACCCCTGGATAGACGAGGATTGTCATTCTGTTTACCCCACAAGCATTTAATGAAGGTCTGTGTGTCAGATGGTGGGGAAACAGATTGGAAGAGACTACTTTTTGTTTTTAGTGGTCCTTGGGTAACTTCCAGAGTTAAATTCCTAATTTTGCTACTGAAAAACAAACCAGATTATGGAGTTCTCAGCAAGGTAAACAGTAAAATAAAGCAGTTTTAATCTTGCACTTCTGACCTTGGCTACAGAGATTAAAATGCAAAGTTGGGGCTCTGTAGTTTTACCATTGCAGTGTTAGTGCTGTGGGTTTAGTCACTGGCATTCTCGATGGTGGATCGATGTAGACACTCCAGAAACGCTACACTTTCTGTGACTTTGAACTAGCGATAAGGGATAGAGGAAGG